GTGGACCGGGGTTCAGATCCTGGGCACGCACTGATGCACCACTTGTCAGGCCATGCTGTGGCAGCATCCCATATAAAGCAGAGGAAGATGGGCACAGATGTTAGCCCAGGGCCAGTCTTCCTCAGCAAAAAAAGAGGAGGATTGGTATGGATGTTCGCTCAGGGCTGATCTTCGTCATAAATAAATAAATAAATAAAATAAAAACATGAAATACATGTTCTTAGGGTCTGAAATTTCATCCTATTTTTTTTACTGTAATAATCCACCTTTATGTGATGGACAACTTCTGGTGGACTCCCCATGGAGTGGGTTTACTTGGTAAGAAAATTCTTAATAAACAATACTTTGACTAATATGTTGCAAAAATTATCCCACTACATACAGAAGCACCACTTGAAACTACTCAGTAAAGTGATCAGCATGTCCCAAGATACTGAGATGGAATGTATCCTGACAGCTTAAGTGTTAAGTGTTTCTAGTTTTCTTTCTGGTTTTGAAGAGTATCAAGAAAGCATCTCTAAAGTGCACTATGATAAGATTGATCACACGCTAATGCTCATTCCCTTTGAGGCACAATAAATGGTATTGGACTTTCTCCTGGGAGAACACATGTCCATGTTCACATCCTCATATCTCTGAGGCTGTTGACTAAACAATTATTCATGCCTCATTTTCCATCCCCTGAGTGCCATTGTTCATTCTACCTCAACACATACAACCGTGAAGCATCTTATTGAGGGAGCTTATGAAGTTGAATGATGCCTTCACTGAGGTCTACCATAATTTGTTTTAAGCCATTGCTACTTTAATTTTCTATATTTCTATACATTATAAATGAACTTGAACTTTACTTTCATTTAATCATCAGTTCCATATTTTTGATGATGCTCTTAGTGTTGTTTTACATTTGCAATGTGTGCGACGGTTGAATTGCAGAATAGATATCAGTTCATCTATTTTACATTATTTCCTTCTCTAGTGTTGAGGGTATGGCTCAGCAGCAGTTTCCCTAAATTCTACACGAAATCCAGAATATTTTGAAAACGTAGCTTTAATCATTCCTCCCATCTCTTTTCACCTGACTTAGTACCTAATATTAAGTTACACTTTGTCAATTAAATTTATTATCATTTTCGAATTGGAAATTTTCAATATCTTGAGAATATATAGTTGTAATCTCAGAAATACTATTTCAGTGACTTGCCATAATTTGTTATATAAGATTTATTGATTTTTCACAGTATGTTTTCAGGTTTCTGTTTTGTGTACATTTCACGGAGTTTTTATTTCTTGGTATAACTAGTATATTCTAGTAATTACTCTGTCTAGATTAATCATGTCCATTTTTGTACACTAAATTAATACTTAAATATCTCACTGTATTTTACAAGACACTTAGCCATTTATGTGCTTTATAGACTTCCTTTCCACTGTTGTCTCTAACACCTGTATTTTCTATAGAATTTTTAAACTTCTGGAAATTGCCTTCTTGAGTGAACACAGGACAACAGTCCTGTTCTCTGGCTTTCTTCTCATCTGGACTTCATAAATAGTACACCTGGTCCCTGTTGTCCCACTTGCTGGTGCTATCTTGTTCTTTGGCTCTTATTTACTGTCTATGATGCTCACCACCTCTGCACATGATCCTCCTCCATGGGTCTCCATGCCACTGCCAGACAATGTTTCTGCACATAACTGCTGCTACTTACAGCAGCCTTTAATACAAATACTTACCCCTGAGGGTCATTTACTTATTTTCTCTGAAAAGTTACTTATGTTCTTCTGATGATATTAATGAAGTCTAATTTATTAAATTTTTTTTTTTTTTAAAGATTTTATTTATTTTATTTTTTCCCCCCAAAGCCCCAGTAGATAGTTGTATGTCATAGCTGCACACCCTTCTAGTTGCTATATGTGGGACTCGGCCTCAGGATGGTCGGAGAAGTGGTGCCTCGATGCACACCCGGGATCCGAACCCGGGCCACCAGCATCGCAGCGCGCGCACTTAACCACCAAGCCACAGGGCCGGCCCTAATTTATTAAATTTGAATAAGTGCATATTAAGTTTTATTGATTCATAACTATGTATCTACACATACAAACAGTAGGAGCACCCCTGACCTCGTCTCTTTTTATTGTGTCAAATAAGTTTCATAACATTTTACATCATTTGAGCTTAGCAGTTAAAATAGACCATATCTTCCTTGTGGTTTGCGTATAGATTCTGTTGATTACCATAAATATTTAAACTCACTTGTTTTCTATTTTCCACACAGTCCGACCCCTAGCAATCACAATTCTACTATTTCTATGAATTCTACTATTGTAGGTACTTCACATAAATGGGATCATATAGTATCAGTCTTTTCAGTGGGTGGCTCATTTGACCTAGCATAATGCCATTAAGGTTATTCCATGTTGTAGCAAACGACAGCATTCATGTCTTTTTTAAGGCTGAATAATATTCCATTGTATGTATATACCACATTTCATTTGTGCATTCATCAGTCAGTTGACATTTGGCTTGTTTCTACCCCTTGGCTGTTGTGAATAATGCTTCTGTGAACATAAGTATGTGAATATCTCAAGAGTCTGCTTTCTTTTTAATATATATATAGGCATACTTCATTTAATTGGGCTTTGCAGATATATATATTTTTAAAAGACCCTCCAGCAATAAGATTATGACTTGCTGATGGCTGAGGTGGTTAGCACTTTTTAGCAATAAAATATATTTTAATTAAGGTATGTACATTATTTTTTGTAAACATAACGCTATTGCACACATAATAGGATATAGTGGAAATATAACTTTTATATACACTGGGAAATCAAAAAATTTGTGTGATTTGCATTATTACAATATCTGTTTTATTGCAGTAGTCTGGAACCAAAGCCACAATATCTCTGAAATATGCCTGTATGTGAAATTTATATTTTATCTATCAAGAAATTCCCATTGTGCATATTCATTCTTAAGAAGAAACTCATGAACATTTATCATCTTTTCAAATTATTTTCCTGAGTGCTCCAAGTGTAAAAAATTGTTATTGGGCCGGCCCCGTGGCTTAGCGGTTAGGTGCTCACGCTCCGCTGCTGGCAACGCAGGTTCGGATCCGGGCGCGCACCGACACACCGCTTCTCCGGCCATGCTGAGGCCACGTCCCACATACAGCAACTAGAAAGATGTGCAGCTATGACATACAGCTATCTACTGGGGCTTTGGGGGAAAAAAATAAATAAATAAAATTATAAAAAAAAAATAGATTATTTTATTCTTATTTCTAATATTTTATTTCCTAATATTTTTCATATGCTATGTTTCTATTTTCATATCATGTAAAGGTGCAACATATGAATCTAATTTCAGCACAAAAACATGTAGAAATATAATCATATGGTGTATATTCATGAATAGGGAGGCAGGTTTTAGAGGGGGAGATTCTGAATTTGCATTAGTATGGTAATTTCATTATAGCCACAGAAATAATCTGGGATACACTATGGAGTGTGTAACTCAAATGCAAATTATGAATATATAGTTCCAAACTTCTAAGTTGTTTGAATCTAACATAGAAAGAAATTGTTATAGATGCCATTCCACTAGAGAGCTTAATAATGTATCATTAGTGTTCATCATGAAGCACTCCAATGAGGTGGGATATGCTTGGGTCAATAGAAGACACATGATTCATTCAGAATTATAAAAAAGGGTTATATTTTATTTATTTAGAATGAGAATATATGCTAAATAAAGTAGTAAGGTAATGCAATTTCATTCACACAATTTGCATCCTTCACAAGCACACTCTACTCTGGTTCTTTTGATTAAACTGTCCTCTATAACTTTCCCTTCAGTTTCTAAAACTAAGACTAATTTTCATTAATCTATGATATACAACACCTATTACCTGCCAAAAGAGACAGAGACCATCATTCCCCCTCCATTTTTCTACTACATATGCCATCTCTATTAACCCATCATTCTACTCAGTGAAAATGTCATTCTTTCAATATCCTGGCCTATTCTGTTTCATGATCATCTGGTAGAGGAATACTTTCCTATAATTATCATCGAAGGCCCACAGTCATACCAACAAATCTAGACAAGGGGCTGTGACCACAGAAAGCATAATTTAGATAATACTTTTACATCTATTCTCTACCACTCCCCATGCTCTCAAATTTCTACCATATCATACTTTAAAATTAGTGTCCATGTTTTTCAGGTTCCATGGATATGAATAAACTCCATCTATTGAAGTAGTTCCTTTCATCTTACACATCCCTTCCCTGAGACCATCATGGTGACAAAAGCACGTAATAAAACTATAACATCAAAGGATTTCAAAGTTCAGGTTGTAAGTTATCAATAACTTATAAGAAGCCTCTAATAACTGAATAAAAACATTTTATAAACTGAAGATAGACTTTTCCACAAATGTCCTTGCTCCATGGACACACATCATCACGAGTTTTAAATCATTTTAACTTTTAGTTCACTGTGGAAGTTAACACATGAGGTTGGTAAATCATCAGATTAAAAGGCTTAGTTCCCTCTAGTATGAATTTTCTTATGTGTAGTCCATTAAGAGAATTGGTTAAAGAATTTATCACCCTCATTATATTTGTAATATTTCTGATCAGCATGGTGTATCACGAGGTCATTGCTTAAAGGCCTTGACACATTTGTATGGTGTCTGTCTCACATGATTTTTTCATGATCACAAAGTTGTACATTTTTGATAAAGCTGATCACACATTCATAAAATTTCTCTCTAGTAAGAATTCTGTTATGTCCCACAAGGCTTAAATGTTGGATAAAGTCTTGCCATATGTTACATTTGTGTAATTTCTCTCAAAGATGTATATTCTGTTATCAAGAGAGGTTGAGCCCTGGTTACCAGCTTTGACACATACATTACTTTTCTATGGTTTCTCTCCAGGATGGAGTCTCTGATGTTGAGTAAGGCTTGAACACTCGCATAGGTTTTGTCTCAATCCTTGTATTTGTAAGGTTTCTTTCTCGTATATATTCTATAATGATCCCCAAAGCTTGAGCTTTGAATAAAAGCACTGCCACATATATTAGGATTATAATGTTTCTTTTCAGTTATGTATTTTCTGATGCCTAGTAAAGCTTGAACACTGAGCAAAAGCTCTGCCACATTCATTACATCTGTAAGGCTTCTCTCGAGTATGGATTTTCTGATGTTCTGTAACACGTGCAAATCGAGTAAAAGATTTTCCACATTTATTACATTTGTAAGGTTTCTCACCCGTATGAATTCTCTGATGAACTGCAAGGTTTGACTTATGAATAAAGCCTCTGCCACATTCATTACATTTGTAAGGTTTCTCTCCAGTATGGATTTTCCTATGTCGAGTAAGATACGAACCCTGTGTAAAGGCTTTGCCACACTCATTACATTTGTAAGGTTTCTCTCCAGTGTGGATTTTGCTATGTCGAGTAAGATACGAACCTTCCGAAAAGCCTTTCCCACACTCATTACATTTGTAAGGTTTTCCTCCAGTATGGATTCTCTTATGCCACGTAAGGCTTGAATGCCCAGCAAAGGCTTTGCCACATTCATTACATTTGTAACGTTTCTCACCAGTGTGAATTAACTGATGAATTGCAAGGTTTGACTTTTGAGTAAAGAACTTGCCACACTCATTACACTGGTAAGGTTTCTCTCCAGTATGGATTTTCTGATGTCGAGTAAGAGATGAACCCTCCATAAAGGCTTTGCCACACTCATTACATTTGTAAGGTTTCTCTCCACTATGGATTTTCTGATGTCTTCTAAGGCCTGCAAATCCGGTAAAAGATTTCTCACACTGATTACATTCATAAGGTTTCTCTCCACTATGGATTTTCTGATGTCTTCTAAGGCTTGCAAATCTGGTAAAAGATTTCTCACACTGATTACATTCATAAGGTTTCTCTCCAGCATGGATTCTTTTATGCCGAGTAAGGCCTGAGTGTTCAGCAAAGGCTTTGCTGCATTCATTACCTTTGTAAAGTTTCTCTCCAGTATCCATTCTCTGATGACTGGCAAGGTTTGACTTTTGATGAAAGACCTTGCCACCTACATCACATTTATATGGTTTCTCTCCTGTATGGACTCTCGGATGTCTACTAAAGTTTGAGCACTGATGAAAAGCTTTGCCACACTCATTACATTTGTAAGGTCTCTGTCCAGAAGGAATTCTCTCATGATTCATGAGGTTTGAGATTTTGCTAAAAGCCTTCCCATATTCATTACATTTGTAAGATTTTTCTCTACTGGGTGTTCTCCCATATTGTGTAGGTAACAAACAATATTTAAGAACTTCCCTATATTTATCACAAATGTTTTTGACACTAGGAGAAATTCTTTGAAGTGGTGAAACTGAGGAACCATGGCTGACAGACTTCTCAACTTGACTGCATTCATAAATTTTCTCCTCAGTTTGAAATCTCTGCATTTTAGCCAGATGTGCCTGCAAACTTAATCCAGTTCTATTTTTCAAAGAATTTATATACTTGTTTCCAGCATCGCTTATATTATTTTTCAGTTTTAACAAATTCTGTATAAATGTCTCATCATGCATCAAATACTGATATATATTATTTCTTACAGAAACACTCCGCCTTTGTGGAAAACTACCTGAGGATCTGTTATGTTGCCGATCTATCCTACAAGTCAGATTTTTGTTATGAGTCAAGGGCACTCCTTTGTAATTTCTTGCATCATATCTCAATTCATTCTGATGCTCGTGCATATTTTCCCAGTCTTCCTTGAGGTCGAAATCCTTGATGTCATGGCTTTCACTGCTTTCCAATACCACTAGATGGTATAATTCTCCTTTCTTAATGTCTTCTCTTGCTGATAATTCCTTTATTTCAAATCCAGCAGAAAAGTTTCCTATTAAATAGAGTTGGAAGATAAATATTTTATACAGAATTAGATAATTGTACAAACAATATTTATACTAAACATAGTTATGAAGTTTCTGAAGCATACTCTTCAAACATCACTGCAATATATGGATTTTTCAGATTTTCTTTTTAGAATTTTTTCCATATTTTCTCTTACCTTTGATAATAAATTTTCAAAGCACACATTATATACTATACATACTGTTTGGCCGTATAACTGGATAAATAACTGATACTCCATAGGTAAGGAGTCTTCTCTAACTCTTAATCTCTACAATAAGGTGTATTGATAGGATGCAAGAAAAAGATACTAAGAAAAACTGTATATCACAATAATAATAAATAAAACTTCTTCATTAACCCATAATAAATATAGCAGGTAAGATAACGAATAACCACACTCATACAAAATAACGGTCTCTCGAATTCCAAAGAACTGTTCCTAAAGAACTAAAGAAGGAATTCAAATTCTTTCAAAAGGAGCACACAATAGGAAAAGAGAAAAATATGGTGAGAATTAGTGAATTCTGAAATATCAGTTTCAGGTAAACACACTTTATTATAAAAACTAAGAATTAGGGAAGACTGTCTAAAATCTCAATTATGATTTCATGCCTGTAGTTATATAATAGCCACTATATAGATCAACTAACTACAAAGTATCATTTAATTATCCAGTTAAAAGGTCAAAAAATGTGGACTGTATACAGGATGTGCTTTCAAAATTTATTAGCTCAAGTCAAAGAAAACAATAATATATTAAAAAATTACCAAAAGAGTACACAGAAGATATAATGCAGTGTATGTAGTGTGGGGAGGGATGGGTCCTATGAAAACTGGGGTGCCTGGGTGCTCAAAATTAATATACATGGAGGTACCAGTACATTTCATTTAGATCCACCAAAGATCTGAAGAAACGCCACTACAGGGATTTAGAACAAGAAGAGGGAAGGGAAGGAAGTAATGGGCAATGTGGGAGCAGTGCTTGTGCTTGCAAATTTATGAGAATATGACTGTACTACAGCAGTTAAAATCCTATGCTTGGAAAAAGAGGGGAAGTCACTTAATAAGAGGTTTAATACTGACTCATTCTTAGGAACTATACTATGGAGATGAGGCAAACAAGGAAGAGATTAAAAAGGAAGACAGCGTGGTGTTATGGGAAGAATGTAGGTTTTGATCTATTCCAGTATTTGCTCTAAAAATGATCAAACTGAATGTCCCACAAATTCCACTTCTAGGCATATACTTAGAAAGATATATATATGTATATTCCAGAAGACATGTACAAGAATGTTCTTGGTAAGACCCAAAAGCAAAAACCTGGAAAGGATCACCAAGAGAAGAATGGATGAATTCACTCTGTACAAACTCATATGGATGCAATAAAACCCTCTCAAGGGTCCAGCAATGGAGGGTAACCATGGGTGTTGGATGATGAGCTCTGACTAGGGCATGTAGAGGTTCTGTGGTGGAAACAAAGTTAGCAAGGAGGCTTTTGCCAAGGTTTCCACTTTTTGGGGATGTGATTATATTTGGTAATAAATAACTTCTGAACTAAATTATATAAATTATATATTTTTTAAAATAGAAATTATCACTTTTGGACACATTAGAGTTATTAGTCCAAGTGTCCTCATTTGTTATACAAAAATATGAGAGTCCCTTTTGCTGTAATATTTTAATTATTTGAAATCATATCTTTGGCTCTTTTAATATTACAATCCCAGACATATAAGAGACAGCAAGTGAGAAGTGCTCTTGCAATATGTATCAGTAGATATATAGTTATTATCATTATGAATTTATAAAAATTAATATGCACTTTTCCAAAAGTAATGAATTCTGACTTCACAAACATCATCAGTTAGGAGTATCTTTAAGGGGCATTACTAAATAACCTAGAGTACAGAATGGTTAGTATAGAAAAACAGTGTTGGTAGCAGCAGTGAAGTGTAGAAACAATTTTTGGCAGTAGCATGGTGATCTACGGCAGAGGTCTATGTGCAGAGATGTGGTCAGCAATGTAAGTGTCCAGTAATACCCAGAACAGGACAGCAATGGGATATGTGTCAACAAGGAACAGGTGACTTTTTATGGAATTCAGTTGAAAAGGAGGACAGGGAACAAAAGAGTTTTCATGGGTTAATTGAAATATGTAATTCCAAGAAATTAAATTGTCTGGGAAACGCAAGTCTCGGAGTAGATGAGGGAACCACGGAGTGTAAAAACTGCCTAAGTTTTCTATTAAATAAAATGAGATATTTAAATATTAGGTCAGTATACCAAGATGTGCATGACGAATCTAGACAAGGAGAATAATTATTAGAATAAATTATTTGTAGCAAAAAAAAAAAAGTCAGTGACATTAAAATCAAATCCAAAAGTTATTTTTTGAAAACTACATATACTGTGTAAAAAGCAATGTATTTTATATAAAGAGAAAAACTATGGCAAATCAATTGAATGGTATTTCTGTAGCTAAGTAACTTAATAAAGTGTTTTAGATATGAAAAATTGTCAGATGAAAAAATGCAGCTGATTTGAGTTAAATGTATAAAAACAATGAGATACCACTACACACATATGAGAATAGACAAAATCAAGAACAGTGACAACACCAAATACTGGCAAGGACATGGAGAAAGAAGAACTCTCATTCGTTGCTGGTGGGAATGCACAATGGCAGTCACATTGGAAGACAGTTTGCAGTTTCTTACAAAACTCAATGTATTCTTACAACACAATGTAGCAATCACCTTCCTTGGTATATATCCAAATGAGTTGAAAACTTATATCCATATAAAAACTTGCACATGAAAGTTTATAGCAGCTGTATCCATAACTGCCAAAACTTGGTAGCAATCAAGATGTCCTTCAGTAGGTGAATGGATAAATTGAGGCACATCCAGATAATGGAAGTATTATCCAGCACTAAAAAGAAATGAGCTATCAAGCCACGAAACAACATAGATGAATCTGAAATGCATATATCTAAGTGAAAGAAGAAAATCTGAAAGGGCTACATATTGTTTGATTCCAAGTATATGACATTCTGTAAAAGGCATATGAAGATAGAAAAGAGATCCATGGTTGAAGGGGTTAGGAGGGAAGGAGAAAGAGCACAGATTTTTAGGGCAATAAATTAATCTGTAAGATACTATTATGGTAGATATGTACCATTATACACTGGTCCCACCCACAGAATGTACAACACAAGAGTGAACTCTAAGGTAAAGATGGACTTTGGGTGATAAAGATGTGTCAGTGTAGATTCATGAATGATAACAAATGTAGCACACTGGTGTGGGATGTGATAATGGGGGAGGGTCTGCATGCATGGGGGTAGGAAATATATGGGAAATCTCTGTGCCTTTTGCTCTATTTTGCTGTGAAATTAAAACTGCTCAAAAAAATTAAGTCTATTAAAGAAAAGCATATGTTAATGCTACTAAGCACTAAGTAATATGAAACAGAAATAAAAATAATAACTAAGTCTATCTTTTCAAAAAATTCTGGAGGTTATACAGGTTTTGGAAACAGTAATGTTTAGTTATAACCACTTGAGAAGAAATCCCATAAAATACATAAAACAATATTCATTTCATGACCCAAGAGCCACAAGTAGTAGATATAAAACAAAGAACACTCAGGGTATCATCAAAAACACAGAGCTGATTAAATAAATAGAAAACAAGGTCATGTATAACAATGACATTTGCACAATGAGTGTTATCAGTGGCTTAACAATGGGGCTGGCCCAGTGGCGTAGTGGTTAAGTTAGTGCGCTCTGCTTTGGCGGCCCAGGTTCAGTTCCCGGGCATGCACCTGCACCACTTGTCAGTGGCCATGCTGTGGCAGCAACGCGCATACAAAATAGAGGAAGGTTGGCACAGATGTTAGCTCAGGGCAAATCTTAATCAAGCAAAAAGAGGAAGATAAGCAACAGATGTTAGCTCAGGGTGAATCTTCCCCAGCAAAAAATAAAAATAAGATGTGTCGAAATCATATTTGTTGAAGGTGAAGGAACAAGAGCACACACACGGGATAAACACTGTGGCATAAAAAGTAGTTTAGTCAACAATCTCCTAGATATTAGGTTGTGAACTTGGACAGTCCTCCCCTTAAGTTAAGGTTCTACACCTTCTATTTATTGCCAGCTCAAAGGAGATGATCATATTATGTCTGAACAATATTGTCACACTGCCCTTGGGAGACAGTGTTAAAACTCCTCAAAAACCAGGACAACTGGAAACACTTATCAGTCAGGCTCTCCTAATACTTTCCAACTCAGGATCCTGGGACATGCTGGCCACTACCCACTGGCTTCTAGAGGCACTTCTGTAAGTAGCAGGAGGATGTTCTAACATTATTAATCAGCGTTCTCCTTCAAGAATTTTCTGTTACCCAGTAAACACCCACCATGGGACAGTCCACCAGAAGTTGTCCATCACCTAAAGATGAGTTATCTCAACAGAAAAAGAGAAAGAAACTTCAGACCCATGGAATGTGTATTTCAAAAGCAAATGTGTATTTCAGAGGCAAAATCTTAGGAGAATAACAAATCAGGAAGACAAAGGTCTTTCTATGCTCCCTGACAGGGAGAATAGGAAAAGGGAGAAAAATACAGGATATGGGAGTAAAATAAGAGAGTCAGATTTTGTGGGGTTCTTGAGAAGGGGCTGTGTGCTGTGCCTACAGGCTGTGAGGTGAGTGCCTGAAAGACTGAGATACACTCCCATGTAGCAATGGGAACCAAAGAGAGGATCTCAGTGTCTAGTCTTTATACTACTGCTCAGTAACAAAGTCAAACAATCTCAAATCCCATTCCTCTTTCCACACG